CCCCCCCCGTTGGGAAGGATTCTGCCATGAGGCCAAGCTGGCAGCGATAGGGCATGGCTGGTCCACTGAGGCACCCCGCACTGAACGTCCTCACGGCCTCCCTGTCTGGTCCTTCCCTGGCCAAGGCGGGTGACTGTGAGGTGCAGTGGGAGCTCAGGGGCCGTTGGGATACACCCCAGGCTGTGGCGCAGGGGGTGGGGGGGGACACTGGCTCCTCACTCAGGAGTGTGTTGGGAATCACAGCAAAGCTGCCCTTTATCCCATGTTGACCTCGTGCTGCGTGGCGATTTGTTCTTTTAACGGCTTTAATGAGACATAATTTACGTGACATAAAATTCAACTATTAGCGGGTAACTCAGTGTCATTTAGTATTTTCACAGAGTGTGCAACCATAACCTCTAATTCCAGGACATCCCTCCAATCCCCTCAACAGGAACCCCTCCCCCATCGGCATTCACTCCCCCAGGCCCTGACAGCCAGGAGCCCACTCCCTGTCTCTATGGATTTGCCTGTTCTGGACGTTTCCCATCAGTGGAATCACACACCATGTGTGCTTCTGTGTCTGGCTTCTGTCACTGAGCATCGTGATCTCAGGGTCCGTCCACGTGGTAGTGAGTGTCAGTGCTTCACCCCTTTTCAGGGGATGTTCCCGGGTGTGGAGGGACGTGGTGTATCCATTCACCCGTCAGTGGACATTCGGGTTGTCCCCACTTGGTGCCCGTTAGGAATTGTGCTTCTGGGAAGCTGCGTGAGCGAGTGTTTGTGTTGAACTTCACTTTTAGTGAATTCCTCCTCATTTTAGTCTCTCTGCCGGATCCCCGATGGCCTCTTGCCATATGATTAAAAGCATCAGCAGAGAGGCCAAGGGGTGAGGGGGGTCTTGCTCAGTGTCCCTCGTCCAGAGCTGCCATCGGCCCCTACCCTGCTCTCTGTGGACCCATGCCTGTCACCATCCCTGTCTGGAGGGAATGAGGTGGCTGCATCCCCGGTGGCTGTGGGATGGGCGACCATGGTGGCAGCTCCTTGCCATTCCTCTCTGAGCTCCAGGGGCTCTTCCGTTTCCCTCCTGGGTAGTCAGCGAGTCCGTCCCCAGCAGTCCGCTCTGCTCGGGCGGCACTGCAGGCAGGTCTCTGTGACACCCGCCCTGAGCAGCTGCGGCCGGGCCGGAAGGCTCGGCTTCCTGTCACTTTACTTCCTGCATCCTGGCTGAGCGCCTGGCTTTTCCTCTTTTTTTAAATACTGTTTTTCTTTTTTTCCGGTCAGTGGTGTGCCTTGTAGGAGACGGAGAACTCAGAGAAGGTGTAGCAGCCCCTCCCTGGCCCGGTCTCTGCGGTGAATGTCTCGGGGGTCCTCCTGCATGCCCCTTTTACCCGCTCGGAGCGCGCATCTCCATGCCGCCTGTGGGTGTGGTTCTCCTCTTTCGGAGGAGCTGGACACTGTAGCCACTTCCCTGGTATCCATACTGGAACCTACACATTTTTCTCCAGGAGGTTTCCATCAGTTAACTGACCACATGAGCGCTCGACGCACCCACAGCACGGGGATCTCCCGTCAGGGCTGGCTTTGTCAGCATCGGAGTAGGGGGTGAGCTGTTTAATTGTGGAGGGAGGGGTGCTGCCGTCCGCCTCCTCCCGCACAGAAGTTTGCCCCAAAGGCAGTGGGCGGATGGGGAGGCGCGGCCCGGAAGATGGTTCCAGGCCCAGGTATCTCACGGCACAGAAGGCAGAGCCATGGGGCTTGTCCTCGCCTTGGAAGGCCTGGGGTGAGCTCCCCAGGGCCCCTGGACTAGCCGCGGGCCCCCATCCTGGAGCTGCCATGCGTGTTATTGGCAGCCTGCGTCTGCGTTCAGGCGGGTTCCCACACTCGGGTCTGCAGATGCTGCTTGAAGCCTGGCTGTAAGCGCTCCAGGTGGTGGCCATGTGTTGGCTCCAGGTACGAAGGGCCTCCTGTTGTCCACACGTGCGGTTTAGTTAGCCCCTGTAGCGGCTCTGGATGGAGACGAGAGGGAGAGTGCCCGGAGCCAGCTTCCCGGGGAGGCTGGCACGGGGTCAGAGTCTGCGCTGGGCCCTCCCTCAGCGCCCCCAGCTTGCAGCTCGCGACAGCTTGCTCCCCATGTGACACCCTTCCCCTCTGGGCCGCAGACCCCATGGCGGCTCTGGCCAGGTAGCTCAGCGGGTACTTGGCTGGCTGGGTGGACAGCAGGTGCCAAACACTGGTCTCTGAGGGGAGCTGGCTCTGCACCTGCCCCTGGAACCCCTGCCCCTGGGACCCCTGCGAGGAGGAGTTCTGTACTCAGTCCTGGCAGGGACCCCAAAGGCCTGGTCACCACTGTCATGACAAAGGCTGCTGTGCCGTGTGGCCCAGGGCGGCCACCAGCCCTCGACTGTCAGAAAGGGAGGGGACTTGCCTGCGGGGGAGGGTCCTTGAGTCACCAGAGCCGAGCTCTGGCCCCGGAGAGCTGGCAGCAAGCAAGGCTGGCAGTCAGAGCTGTGGGGTGATCTGGGCGAGAGCGAGAAGGATGCCTGGGGGCACAGGGCCGCTCCCTGACAAGTGGTGGTGGACCCGGAGTGTCAGAGGTGCACCCAAGCCCCCACGGACAGGGCACCCACCTGACCGGGGCCTGACCCACAGGGGCCTGGTAAGGCCCGTCCGTTGCAGGACTGAGTGAGTGAGTGGGGTCTGGGAGACCAGCACTGGGGCCCGAGGTGGGAAGGTTCAGGGAGCACTTGCCAGAAGTCAGGAGGGGCTCACAAGCCAGAAGGGGCGGTACAGGGCCTGCTCCCCACACCCCAGGACATTCCTGGTCCTTTATAGCAGGACTCTCACCTGGGCCGTCTTGCCCCCAGGGACACCTGGCGATACCTGGGGACATCTGTGGTTGTCACGATGAGGGAGGGGGCCTCCTGGCATCAAAGGGGTGGAGGTCAGATGCTGCTCCACACCCCATAGAGCCCAGGACGCCCCGACGTCACAGTGCTGAGGCGGAGCTACTGTGTGTCGTTTATTTGGGGGAAAATTGAGTGTGATCCCTGTTCCACTGGACACCAGGATAAATCCCAAAGGCAGGCGGCGTAAACCGGGGTGACCCCAGCGTCTGTGAGTCTCCTCCCCTCCCCCACTCCGGTGTGGATTGAAATGTGTGCAGCATCCCAGACCTCAGAGGTCAGGTGGTTAGCGATAAGCGCGGAATGATGGGGGGAATGAGGGCAGAGTTACTGCTGCGCCCTGCAACCCTCTGGTGAGGGTGGGAGTGGGATGGGGGGCAGGTAGGCAGTGAGCTCACGGGAAGCAGCTGTAAAGCTGTGTTTCCCCCAGCAAGTCGGTGGCCTCCTGTGCTATGGGTCTGGGGAATGGGTGCTACACACAAATGCTGTTTCCGGGGCACCCTCCCTTCAGAGGCTGCATAAGTGCCGGGCCGGGGAATCTGCATGGGAGCAGGACCTACGCTGGGGAGGGTGGGTGGTGTCGAAGGCACAGGATCCGCGCTGGTGTGCGAGGGTGGGGTGTGGTCAGGAACGGCTTCCTGGAATAGGCGACCTCTTCACGGAATGTGGACAGTGGGAGGCACGCGCCTCGGGTCTCATGACGTTGGGGACCCCTCACCTGCCCGGTTGGTCTTACGTTTCATGCTTGGGCTTCCCGGTGAGGACTTTAAAAAATCTTTATTGATGTATTATTCACATACCATGCAATTCGGTGACATTTAGTATCTTCATAGCAACTCTCATCTTTGTCTATTTCCAGAACATTCCGTTACCCCAAAAGGAAGTCCTGTCCTCATCAGCAGTCACCCCATCCCATCACCAGTCCCTGACAACCAGGAACCCACTCTCTGTCTGTAGACTGGCCTGTTCTGGACATTTCCCATCAATGGAATCACACACTGTGTGTCCTTCTGTGTCTGGCTTCTCTCACTGAGCATCGTGTTCTCAGGGTCCGTCCACGCTGTAGGAGTGTCAGGGCTTTCACCCCTTCTCAGGGTTGAGTGATGTTCCCGTGTGTGGAGGGACACTGGAGTTGTATCCGCCCTTGGGCTCCCATGGACGGTGCCGCCATGAGCACGTGTGACCGGGTCGCCGTGCTCTCAGTCCTCCCGGGCATGTGCCCTGATTGGAGGTGCTGGGTCAGTTGGTGACTGTTCAACCTTCTGCAGAGCTGCCCGCCCCCACCCCCCACCCCACCCCCGGCTCCTGCAGGGAGTCCTCATGGAGCTGCCCTGACAGCGGCGGGGAGCCTGGGCTTCAGTTCCAGAGGGAGGAGTGGGTGGGGGGTTGCGGGGACCTGGCTGGAGCCCCAACTCCCGCGTGCTCTCCCGCTGTCCCCGCGCGGCCTTCGCTGTGGTCTTTGTGCGTCTTCAGTTAAAATGCGGGTACGGGGCCTGGTCGTGTTGCTGGGCTCGGGGACATGCCCAGGACTAGCTGCCCCTGTGCGGAGCTGCTCACTCCGGTGCTGCCCTCTGCACGATTCCTGGGGGCTGGTGGCACTGCCGGGCCACGGGGCTTGGCTGACGCCTCCGTCCTCTGTCTTCAGGGAAATCCAGCTGCTGAGGAGGTTACGGCACAAAAACGTCATCCAGCTGGTGGACGTGCTGTACAACGAGGAGAAGCAGAAGATATATCCTTTTGGGGCTCAGGGTGCCAGGTGTTCCCTGAGTGCTGCCGACCTTGGGGCCGGGGCCCCTCTCCAGTGAGTGCCCACAGGGGGCGCTGCAGGATGCAGGCTCGTTCTCCGCTTAGACCTCCTGTTCTCATGTGGAGCTGGGGCCCTGCTGTCAGCCTGGTCCCTGGAGCGGGTCGCTTTCCTGGCTTCTGTTTGGGGGGCTGTTTTCCCTGGCCTGTGGCGGATGCATGGGGGATGGAATGGGGAGTGTGTCACTGCGGCAACGGTGTACTGGGCGTGTCCTCGGCCTTCGCCCTTTACTCCTGAGCTGCAGCTCCGAGAAGCAGCGTATAGGGGCCCAGGGGCCTGCCGAGGGGCCTATGTCGCAGAGGGACCTGTCACTGACTCGCTGGATGCAGGGTGATGGGAGTCCTCTCCATCCTAGTCGCAGGGCTGCCCCTCCACGGTGTAGATGCGGCTGGGGGGCTTCAGCCTGGCCCTGGGCTCCCCATCCCTGCTCCACAGCCCCACCCCTGTGCTGCCCTCATCTCTCCCTGGCCTCCCGCCCCTGCTCAGGCCTTCTCTCCACAGGGCCAACACGCCCCTCCCTCGCTCCTTTGGGGGCCAGGGCTGGGGCTTGAGCTCCTCCTTGGGGTGTGGAATGACCGGGGGGCTTCCTGCAGCACCTGTGATCCCTCTGGGGTCTTCAGCTCACTGCACTAGTGCAGCCTTCACCCCCTAGCATCTGTCTGTTCCCTGGGAATGGCCCATCTGGGGCAGGGTCTTGGCTGAGCGTGCTTTCCTTAGCACTGCCGCTGCTGCACGTATATGGTGATGGAGTACTGCGTGTGCGGCATGCAGGAGATGCTGGACAGCGTGCCCGAGAAGCGCTTCCCCGTGTGCCAGGCCCACGGGTGAGCGTACGGGCCCCACTGCTGCCCCCTCCGCCCCCGCCTGGTCACTCACGGGTCCAAGCGTTTGAACAACTTAATTCTGATCATCAGTGAAATGAAAGCTCAAGTATGTTTCAAACCTCAGGGCTTTGGGGCTCAGTTTGCAGTCCCGCAGCCCACCTGCTGTGGACGCCCTGGCAGCCCCACAGGCTCCTCTCTGTGCACCTCCCTGACCCACTGTGGCCGCCACTGAGGCTTTGGGGCCTCCTGTGCTTGGGAAGCCCCTGACAGCGGCCTGTACTGCCCCGGCTGGTTAGTTCTCCTGGGCAGTCAACCCGTAACACCCAATTGCTGTAGGACCAGCTGGCCTGTGGCATGAGGGGTCAGTGGGTTGCCCTGGGTCCCTGGCCCCAGGGGGGACGGGGGGGGGGCAGCAGGTCTGTATCCAGGCCACAGAGGTTGGGGTGATAGCAGGGCCCCTGAGCTGCCCGGGCTGGGGGGGGCAGCTGGGGCAGGTGCTCCTGGTGGGAGCTACTGCAGCGGGGGCCCAGGAGCAGCTCAGCCTGGCCACTGGCCCTCTGGTTCCCTGATGGGCTGCCCGGCACCGACGGCCCCTGAGCCTCGGCCTCCCATCCTTGGTCCCGCTGGGTCGCTGCAGGCAGCCGTTCCAGGCAGCTGGCTCCCGACAGGTGGGGCTGCGCCTCTTGGTGCAGTGGGTCACAGAGGCTGTGCCCTGCAGGTACTTCTGCCAGCTGGTGGACGGCCTGGAGTACCTGCACAGCCAGGGCATCGTGCACAAGGACATCAAGCCCGGCAACCTGCTGCTCACCACAGGTGGCACGCTCAAGATCTCTGACCTGGGCGTGGCCGAGGCAGGTGCCCCACCACCCCCAAGCCGGACCCAGGGTGGGGACACAGGGTGGGGTCCCGGCCCCACCGAGGGCCGCTCCCTGAGGGCTGTCTGGTGCTGCTACAGGCCCTGCACCCGTTTGCCGAGGACGACACGTGCCGGACAAGCCAGGGTTCCCCCGCGTTCCAGCCGCCCGAGATCGCCAATGGCCTGGACACCTTCTCTGGCTTCAAGGTGGACATCTGGTCAGCTGGGGTCACACTGTAAGTGCCCCTGGGCCTGGGTCCCTCCACCCCAGGGGTCCTCCCTCGCCCCCCCACCCCGGCCCCAGGTACCCTGTCTGGGCTCCAGGCTTCCCTGACCTGTCCCTCCCGGCAGGTCCCCCAGCTGCTGCCGCCCCCTAGAGTCTGTGGAGGCCACAGAGCCGGGGTCAGGAGCCCCCATGGGAGGGGGGACAGGCACTGGACGGGCCGTCCTCCTGGCCCCCACCCACCCTGGGCTTGTGCTGGTCTCCACCTGCGCTGCTTCCCACACTGGCCACAGTCGCTGTTGGGTGGGTGTTTCTGTCCTGACTCCTGGGGCTGAGAATTCTCAGACACCGTGAGTCGCCGGCGATGCTCGGCCCACCGCTGCGTACCCCCGACCCAGACGCCGCCACGTGCTCGTCTGTCCCTCCGTGAGCTCAGGCGGCACCAAGTGGGCCTGTGTTCTCTGGAAGCCTCTCCTGCCCGAGGCGAGTTCATGCCGCAGCCCCCTGTGCGCGCAGCCGGTGGCGTGGGTGTCCCGTTTCATGTTACTGAGAGCTGACTCGTGTACCGTTGGCCCACCGTGTCAGAGCGTACCATCCGGTGGCTTTCCATATCTTCTAGTGAGCTGCCACCACCATGTGTTCCAGAACATTCTCCTCACCAAGTCCAAGTCCCCACAGGTGGGGGTGGTTAAGGTTCGGGACCAGGCTGGCTCCAGGCTGGGGCGTGAGGCAGGCCCTCCTGACTGGTCTGTCTTTCCTGGGGCCGCAGCTACAACATCACGACAGGCCTGTACCCGTTCGAGGGGGACAATATCTACAAGCTGTTTGAGAACATCGGGAAGGGGGACTACACCATCCCGGGGGATTGCGGCCCCCCACTCTCAGACCTGCTCAAAGGTGAGGCCCTCGAGGCAGGAGGCTGGGCTGT